CACTGGCTGACTTGGGGTGGGGTCTACAGGGTCAGTGACTGACTTGGGGGCGGGGTCTGTGGGGTCTGTGACTGACTTGGGGGTGGAGTCTAGGGTCACCCGCTGACTTGGGGTGGGGTCTGTCAAGTCAGTGACTGACTTGGGGGGTGGGTCTGTGGGGTCACCGGCTGTGGAACAACTACCTGGCTACAACTGAAGCAGAAATTCCCCCCTGGGCCCGCCTGATGTGAACCCCTGGAGCCCACAGTCTGGCAGCACAGAGTGGCATGTCTACAGGGGAGGGCTAATGGCGGTCTGTCACTGGAAAGGGCACCGGGCCGCCCAGCGGTCAGAGGAGACTCCGACCAAAAATATCCATGTCAAGCAAGGCAGAGAGACACTTTCTAGAAGTGGGGAGACCAAAGAGACAGGACGGGTGAACACAAGGTCGAATCCTGGGTTATATCTGGACCTAAACGCTACAAGGGCATGACGGGGACAGCTGGGGACAAGTGAAGATGGGCTGTGTATAGAGAATGGCATTGCATCCATGTTATTGTTATTATTATTTTTTGATTCGAGGTATTACTGTCGCCCACGCTGGAGTGCAGTGGCACGATCACAGTTCACTGCAGCCTCCAACTCCTGGGCTCAAACATTCCTCCCGCCTCAGCCTCCCGAGTAGCTGGGACGACAGGCGTGCACCACCACACTTAACTGACTTTTTGTAGAGACAGGATCTTGCTGTATTACTCAGGTTGGTCTTAAGTTCCTGACCTCAAGCAATCCTTCAGCCTCGGCCTCCCAAAGTGCTGGGATTACAGGCATGAGCCACTGCGCCTGGCTTCAGTGTTAATTTTTGTGAGTATGAAAATGTATTCTGGCCGTGTACAGGAATGCTCTTTGAAGATTTGGGATATTTGAGGGTGCACGGGCTTGGTGTATGTCTGCAATGTACTTTCAAATAGTTCTGGAAAAAAAGAAGTCTATCCAGAGATACACAGACAGAAAACACATGGGGTAAAAGTTCAGTGGTGACTGAATCCATGTGAGGGGTGTATAGGTGTGGACTGTACTAGTTTCACAACATCTCTGTCCGCTTGTGATGTTCCAAACTAAAGCATGAAAATATTAAAGAAATAAAGTTGGCCAGGCATGGTAGCTCATGCCTGTAATTCCAGCACTTTGGGAGGCCAAGGCAGGAGGAGGATTTGAGTCCAGGAGTTCAAAACTAACCTGGGCAACATAGTGAGACCTCGTCGCTACAAAAAAAAAAATCAGAAAATTAGCCAGGTGAGGTGATGCATGCCTGGAGTCCCAGCTCTTTGGGAGGCTGAGGTGAAAGGATCACTTGAGCCCAGGAGGTCAAGGCTGTGGTGAGCCATGATCGTGCCACTGCACTCCAGCCTGGGCAACAGAGTAAGACCCTGGCTCAAAAAGAAAAAGAATGAATGAAAAAAAGAAAGTCACTTGTAAATTACATTTTTAAAAAAGAGGGGGCCCTGGTCTTTGCTCAAGCAGGACCCTATCTTGTCTCACGGGGTGGGAGTTGACTCCCTGCTGGGCCTGGGCTGCCCTCTGGGTTTCTGGATTGTGGGGCAGTCCAGGGGTCCCTGGGGAGCGGAGAGGCATCGATCAAGCTGTAGGGAAGCATTTCAGTGTTTTAACTATCGACTTGGCCATAAGAGCACATCCTGCCGGGCTCGGTGGCTCAGCCTGTAATCCCGCGCTTTGGGAGGCTGAGGTGAGTGGATTGCCTGAGCCCGCGGGTTCGAGAC